TCTAGGTCACTAAGTTCTAACCATGTTCTAACCGTGCAGCACAATCTAGTGGTGTGTGTTTAAAATTTATAGATGAAAATAGCTGCAGTAGTGAAGAAAGCACAATTCTGTAGAGCTTTTAACAAAGAGGGCAAATGTGGTATTCCCACTTAAGCTTTTTTTTCTTTTCCTGCTTTCACAACTCATTTTTAGTCTTCATCAACGCCTCTCTTTCCCATATCTGTTTAGTGTTATTTAAAGTTTTAGAGATGTAATTATCACCAAAAATAAGTTATCATGATGTATTTTTTTGTGTATGTGCACTAGGATGGCCATCATAGAGGACAGGCTGGTTGTCCTCTATTGATACAAAACCTGACACCTTTATGTCCTCTATTTTTCTCTTGAAGAGAAAAATAGAAGACATAAGGCGTTGGGTTTCATATCAATAGAGGACAGAGTAGCAGAAAACTGGAATGTCCCCTGTGACGGCCACCATAGGTGCACCTGTGGATGTAACTCTAGTAACTCCTGAATACTCTTTCTGTGAAATTAGTAGTGTTTTTGCAGTATCCCTCCCTGCCCTCTTAAACCTTTTGTGTCAGTCCTTCAGCAGGGTTTTTGGAGATGGCTTGAGACGTAAGCAGTGTAAATGCTATTGGGAGTGAGGATGAGTTAGGTCTATGTATGTGCTTGTGCACTGAAGTAAAAGTAAACTTTTCTTGACTATTAGGTAATCCCTTGTAGTATTTTCAGGAAGGACCTCCACAGGCAAGTATCTCCTGATATCACAGAATCTTCCTGTATTGCTCCAAGAAAATGTTCCAAAGAAATCCAGATCTTTGAAAAGTTTGCGTACTGTATCGCCTTTTATCCAGTTTTGAGATGTGACATGGTTTTTGTCCAAACGTTTTGCTTTTTTCCTATTAATTTCTCCATTTTCTAAAGAACAACATTTATGTTACAGGTGTTCTGCTGGAAGTCATCTACCAGTCCTATGAAACAGTGTCGATGGGTCTATGGCCGCCAAGTCTTCATATCTGATCTTGCTTTAAATAAGGATGAAATGATGTTTGTTACTCAGGATGGTGAAACCTTTAGAGGAACGTGGATAGAAGAGGGGAAAAAATCTTCAGAAAGAAAAGGTTAGTATTACTATGTGTTTTTTAAGATGACCTTTTAGAAATACTGAAGTACAATCAAGTGGTAGCAAAAGTTCTAATTTGACTGTCACTTACAGTTTTTATCTCTCTCCTAACTGTTAAAGGAGGTTTTAGAGGTTTTTTGTTTTTTTTAATATTAGGAAAGGGAATCTTCCATTCTTAGTTTCCTTTATTTACTCACAGTTTGTGCTGGGGTATCTTTTACATTCTGCTTGGCTGGAATACCTGGCTCAAACCAGAAAGAGGAAGCTGTAACAATTATCTTTTAGTTTTTGCTTTGTTGCACTGATATTTAGTTCTGCTCATTTCTGCAACTTTCAGTGGCCTTCTGGCAGATACTGATCCACGCCTCTCCCATCCTTCTTTTTCTTGGGGTGTTTCCTCATGTTGCCTCACCAGAACAGCAGTCTAGTTTTATACAAACTGTTTCTTGAAGTCAGAAGGTTAATCAGGCTTCACCAAGTCCTTGACCTCTTGACTCACATTGCTAAAAAAAGTTGTGCGTGCATGTTGTTTTTTGGAAATGGAAACACCCGTCCATTAGGATTTGACTGAAATCACCAAATGTGTTCACTTATAGTGTACAAACATATAGACTATAATAGGTTTTGTTACAGTCAACCTGGGATGTATTTGAGCTTTATGGCCTTCAGAAAAATGTCTTTTGAGTCTCATTTCCATTTCCTTTTTTAATAGCCACTTTCTTGCCTCACTTTTAAGATTCTAGTCTTGTATTTTCCAAAGTGAGATATTATCCTTCCCTCCCCCTCCTCCCCATCATTTCCAGTACACTGTGAGTTAACCTGTCAGCCTTCTATTTTATTTCCCTATTTTCTCATTAGGCAACCCAACATAGCAACTTCCCTCCATTACAGAATCTTTGAATACAGCTTCTTTTTGAAGCCCACAGTGCTGTTCATTGGCTAATAGAGATGATGGGATCTAGTCCCCAGATTGGTCTGTAAAGGAATCTGTTAACTTGGATAGACTGCTGGTTTGATCATAGAAGTCTGTACCAGGATCTTTATTCTTGAGAATTTTTTTAATTGGAGGCTTTTAAAGTCTTGTGTCATCAATTCCTGGTCACCTGAAGTGCTCTGGATGAGTGGAAAGAGCCATCTTTTTGCTTATTAATATTCTCTGTTTCTGATCTAAAACTACTTAAATGCAGAACTTTTACATCTTCAAGCAAGCATCAGACTCTGATTAAAATATTTTAGTAAGATTTCCTGATATAATGGTAAGAACTCAAGTGCTACAAATTTATGGTTTAAAAAAAACCTGTCTGTTTTCTAAGTTGTCCATTCTGCAAATACAGTGACCGTGTATTTTAATTACAAATCTTATACTAAAAAGTATTCTGAGAGAGAGCAGCTGAATATAACTCATTAGCCTATAACTTTGTTGAGGTAGTTTGATACTGTTACATCTGACAAGCTTAGGAGGGTTGAACTGGCTAAGAACTTAGGTGGGACATACCCAGTTTCAAGTCCTGTGATCAGAATGTCTTGGTCAATCACTAGGTGGCATTTGTGTTCTGTGTCCAACCAGTTCCTCCTCATTGTGTTAAGGCTGGAGGATATTGTGCTTCTGGAATGTTGCCTTTTGGATGACTTTTAGCTCTTATATTTTTTTTAAGTCTAAATCTACAGTCTTAATCAAATTTCAGTTTGTGTAACTATCATGTGTCTCTCAATTCTCCTTGCTGCTTTTTTAACTTCTTGTCCTAATATGTGTTGTATAATATTGCTGCTATATAGTTTTCTGTTTCACTTCAGAACTGGTCACTTCTCACTAGTAAGTGGAGTGATTCCAGACTAGCAGTCATGAATTTTGTCCTTTTGTTTTATTAGTTAAATCTGAATTCACCCTTTCATGTCCCCCCCATATCTCTTTTTTTTTTAAACAGATGTTATAACAAGTCTTCAAAATTGCTCATATGATGCATCTTGTCACAATGGTTCAAACAGTGTATATGAAAAAATTCGACTTGAGAAGGTTGCTTTTGTCCACAGAGCTGTTAGTGTTACCACAGATCCTAATGGAAGTAACTTTGCTGTTTTACAGTCGGATCCTAAAACAAGGTATTTTTCAGATACCAAATCTGTAAATTCAGTTGCTCAAATAGTGAAAGGAATGTGGCTGTAAAGCATTTTCCCTGTTCCATCAACTTTTTTTTTTTGTGATTTCTACTTCTGCCTGACAGAGCACCACACCACCTTTTTGGCTTCTGCAGGGGTCACTATATATGGTGACCTTAGTTTCTGTGCAAAGTATTTGCATGTTATTAAGTACCTACGCAGCTTAGTAGGTGTAGGCAAAATGCTTTTAATTATTTTGTGCAAAGGCAAAATGGTCTGATGGATAATCATGTAAAAATACTCAAGCTAAACTCTCCTAAAATAGATTTCAGGGATGATTGTGTACTAATGCTTGCTCTGAATTGCAGGAAGTGTTATAAGCAACATGCTTAAGAATGCTTTCTGGGAAGATTTCTAGTTCTTGGAACACAAAGATGCTCTGTAATTTACGAAACTGAACAATAGGAGTTAATTTTTGTTCTCAAATGAAAATCTGTTTTTCATTTGTGTGAGAATAAATTAAAACATTGAAAGGTTAATTGTTTCTTTCCCAGCTGTTTTGATTCTGAACATACTTTCTTTAACGCGACTTATTTACTTCCATTTATTTTAACTTCACTGTGGAGCTTTTCAAATGGTTTTATAATTTTTTAGAAGTTATTTTAAGTACTTCTGTGTTGGAAAAATGATACAACACTCAATGAGGACGCTTTAATAGACGAGTTGCTGGCTTATTATTTGAGATGGAAAAATACAATATTTGATGCTTTAGAAAATTGTACTTTTTCATGTAATTCTTAATGACATATTAGTGGTTATCTGTGTAATAAAGCCTGTACCATGAAACTTTAAATAGTGAAAAAAAGAAAATACCATATTTATTTGAATATTGTATTTAGTCAAATAGAAGGCAACCCTGACTATAAGATGACCATCCAAAAATATATTCTATAAGTGAAAATTTTATTAATTTATATTATAACTTTCCAGGAATAGAATATAATTATTAGAGGTTTGCCTTGCCCTCTCCAACTGCTACAGCAGGGAAAATAAATCTGGGGGATCTGGTAGCTCTTTGCTTTCTCTTCCCCTGGCAGTCCCTTTCCTTTCTACTTACTGTCAGACCCTGATCTCCCTGGACGTACAGAAGTGAAAAGCAAATTTGAAAACAATATTGAAAGTACAATATTGAAACAATTACTTGAAAGTAAATATTGCTGTAGCAATTTACATATAGTATCCATGCGCTTAGTTTGCGTGTTATCTTTTTTGGAGGTGGAAACAGCTGCAAGTTTTAGTACAGGTACTCTGTAAACACACTTTTGAGCAGCACTTTGAGACGTACTTATATTACAGTTTCATAGTTTGTAGGGTTGGAAGGGACCTGAGC